TCATGTAGTTCAATGATTTTCTAGTCAGCTTTCTGCCCCATGGCAGAATGAATTACCTCTCTGCTACTCCTGACAGACATTTGCCTAAACTGTTGTTAAAAGCTCCATTGCTGAGGATTCTACAGTTTCCTTAGACAATCTACTTCAGTTTTGCATTTACTGTTATAAAGTTTTCCTAATACCTGACCCAAATCTCCCATACTGTAACTTAAACTTATCTTAATCACCCTGGATGCAGATTCTCCTCTCTTTTTCCTATACGTTTTTATGTATCTGAATATTTGAGGTTATTTCCCATCACATAGGTGACAGGATCGTGTTTCTTTCCAATCTGCCTTCTTTATTCAAGGCCCTGAAAACTCAGAAGACAAGGTATAGGGCTAATACAGATATCCAAATCTGTTATTTGCTAAGGAACATGTCCTACCATTTGACATTTTCAGTACAGAGGCCAAGGACTCGGTGGAGGAAAAGTAGTGGCAGATCTCCACCTCTGGAGTTAGATTCTGAAAAGCAGTAGCAAGGCCAGGAGGCAGAGTCTGCAGGGATGCACACATCATCTCTGCTTGTGCTCTGCCTAGCAGGTAGATAGCTGCGGGTTCAGCTTCTATGGCTGTCAAAGGGGGTACAGCTCATTTGCATTGAAAATAAAAAAAAAAGGGAACAGAGAAGATAAGAATTGTCTTGATCGTGATCTGCAGCAGAGTATCCATATTATCAAATATACTTTACTACAATCTTTTGCCACTTTCTGTCTGAAAGCAGGAGTGCTTAACCTACATCTAATGTAGGACGTGAGCAGACAAGAGCAAGGCTTCGGGAACACGACAGGCTGCCACAAAGAAAACCTCATGTATCATCTTCTGGTGAGAGCTTACCTTACAAGATACAATATGTTTGCAGACTTTTAAATTTTACTCATAAATATTTAGGATTGAACCTTGCTTTCACTGGTCTGTCAGTGAGATTTTTACCAATGACTTAACAACAGTCGTATTCCATGCTGTGGGGATATGAATTACAGATGGAATTACACTTTTAAAATGGTATTTTCAACTATTTCTTAAGATCTCCATATATATCACACTGTCCTTAGTACACAATCCTGATAGTTTATATGAGAAGACTGTCCACAATAGTTTAAAACCAGCAGTTTTAAACATCTGAATATTGTTTTCAGTGAAAGTAACAGATCTGTTTTGTAACAGTATGCTTTAACAACACTCGGATGATTCAAGAAAAAGCCACATCCTCCATCTTAAAATTCTGGCATGAAATTGGTCCAAGACTTCGCAAGTGCTATATCTTAGTCTTTTGCTTTGTTATTAGTTTTCCAATATTTTTTTCCTCATCTAGATTAGCCTCTATTATTTAGTTAAAACTTCCTCCATAATTGCAATCAATGAATAGTAATCACTTAATAAACATATCCTGACAGGTCTATTTTTGCACTGGGTAAAAATTCATTTTCTTTATCATCACTCCAGTAAGCAATTTTTCTTCTTACCTCAAGTAGCAAAGTGAAATGTAGTGCCTGGTGAAGCATTCTGCTCTGCTATGTACGGCATTTGAGCAAGACCTGGCACCACTCCTTTCATTTTTATATTATTAGGATATAGATGTATCAAAATCTGTGTAACTTGGAATTTGCAGTCACTGATTTTTATACACAATTCCATTGCTGCACATAGGTAAAAGCTGCTTTGCACAAACAGCTCGTTAACACTGGGCTAATAGTGACGTTCTGGCAGACTTCTTGGAGTATTTTTCTTAAGATGTCAGCAATACATAGAGAAACTGCATTTTTGTTAATTTTTTGAGCTTAGATACTCAACATCGAAATGCCAAAGAGTGTGCATTCTGTCAGCTACCTACAAAGGCCTAAACTGATGGTAAATAGGATAAAATATCCTGAATGAATTTGGATACCTGCAGGTTGCTATAATGATTTCTTCTCTACTGCACATGGAACTGCTAAAGAAACTCAAACAAAAGAAAATGTATTTTGGTTTGTGTATAGAAACCTGTTTTTTTCCTCACAAATTAGATCAATTTGTTCTAAGTGGGCTTGGCCTAAAGTCACTGGAATCAAAGCAAGATTTTCTACTGACTTCAAGAGATTTCAGACTAGGTGTAGCAAAAAATGGAATGTCAGAGTAAATGAACTCTCCTACAGGATTCATATCTTTCTGCGTGAAGTCCATATGGAGAAATTCTCACATGTCTCGTGAGGTAAGCATGGTCATTCATTGCTCCTGAAGACCTACTATGGGTATTCAAAAATCCAAACTACGTACAGGGAAGGGCGAGATTCAACCTCTGCTCATATGGTATTTTACTCTGGTCTGGCCTGGCTTTTCCTTCAGAAAAACAGACTGCAGTTTGCCAGGTACCTTCTAAACAGGACCAAAACAATGGCTGTGGATTAAAAACAAAAAAAAAAAATTTCGAAAATCAAGGTCTGAATACATCAGATTTGCTTTCCTGAATATTATCTTTTGGGTGGACACTCCTCAGTGCATAATTCTGACATTAAATGGTCTGTCAAGCTTTTAGTTGAAAGCTAAACCATAAAGGGAGCACTCTAAATTAAAATGAGTTTTCGTAAAATTTAAGTACACTTTAGTTCTTCACACTAATTTTTAAAACATCTTGAGCAGCTCATCCTTGTTACAAATTTTCAATTTACCCTACGGACAAATTTTCCAGTGATAACTTCTAGCATTTTTTGTACAATTACTGACAAAAATAAGTTTTACCACCCTTATCCTCTCTCTGTTTCAGCCCCACACAACCAGTGGGATCAAGCTGAGCTGTCCCTCTGAACCGAATTCCATTTCTGGCACCATGCTTTGTGCTTTTGTAAATGGCCTCACAATCAGGCCTCATGATACGAGCATATGAAAATTCTTACTAATACAGGCCTGTCACAAGAATATATATCTGCCTACATGCAACAGGTACCCTATGGCTGCATAAATTTAAATGTACAATAACTAGAAGGGCAAAATTGGATTTTTTGCCCTAGTCTCATCTTTGCCACAGGCAGACTCACATTAAGTTTCAAGGAAATCTTTCTAATACATACCAAACAAAAAAAGCTTATGCATATTCTAATCACTTCAGCAGTATCACCCTTTCTCTGAAAAGAAGAATAGATTATATACATCAGTAATAGGGAAAATATTTATTCCACAGCTCTGAAAATTAGACTAAAAATCTCACTTCAGAGTTCACTTGTTCAGCTTGTAATTTTCAGAATTCTTTTAAGATCTCAGTAGAAGGAATCTTTTTGTGTGCACAGTAATGAAGACTTTAAATATACTAATTACCTCTAAACATAGGTATATTACTAAAAGATTATAAAGCAAAACAAATTTTGCACAAAGCAGCAGTTTTTAAAATAAGCAATTATTACACAATTTAATGCAAAAAAAATTTACGTACTAGGCATTTTGTAAAGGTCTGGGTAATACTTAATATGAAAACAAAATGCCTGGATTAATCTAGAGAGATATGTTGATATGATGGAAGCCAGAAAGCAATTGTGAGAAAACACTCTGCATCTACGCTGGTGACAAAGTGTTCAGTCATAAAAGCTTTGATTTAAATCACATTAGCATAGTGTGGTGGAAGCATGCAGCACCACAACATCAAAGGGTATGCCGCAAAAATATGTAACTTTTTTCTTTTCTCTCTCCCGTAAGAGTATACTTTTAGTTTCCAAGTCATGTGTGCATCGGAAATGGTCTGCATATCCAGGGAGAATAAGAGGGGAATGAAAAAGAAAAACAGCTTGAGGGATGCAAGAATCTCACCATAATTTTAAGTAAAAAAATAACAATTCACTTGTAATAGGACTGTCCCGTTAAGGTCCCTGATTGCCATGAAAATCTCAATTGACTTACTCCTTTTCTTTGTTAAATTTACCACTTTAAGAAAATTAAGACAATATGACCTTGGATTTGGGCTCACTAGTTTTCTTTTAAGGTATACCCCACAGTCCTCCAAAAATTCTTTGGAGAGAAATACACTTGCCTGAATCTCACATTGTCTTAGTAGTTGGATACTCTTGTTCCAGATAATTTTGCTGAGAGTTCACAAAAGAGATGTGATCACTCAGAATTTCCCATTTTTGATTACAGCATAGGTAAATAACAATTTTTTCCTTTGTTTTCAGTAACTTACAAAATAAGCCAAATGTACTACCTGACTGCTTGTAGAGACAAAATAAAGAACTTCATTTAGGAACAATTAATTCCTCTTCAGAATAAATTTTCAAGCATGGTAATTGCGAGGATAAAACATCATTGCTTTGTGTAAGTATAACCTTTTTGAACTTCCCAGGCTGACACATCACAGCTGAGATGCAATCGTGTTAGTCACGGCACTCTGCGTGATGCCAATGCTGTACTGAGCAGCACGCTATTAGGAAAGGGTACAGCAGCATGCTGCACTACCGACAGGGCCCTCCCATGCTGGGATTGTCTATATGCAAACACCATGCCCACTGTCACAGCACAACATAGGAGAATGTTAGGGAGCTATTTCTGTAACACCAGGAACACTTATTCCTCCACAACTTGACCCCTGCTCTGTGTGGTGATGGTGCTGATGTGTTTCAGATGTGATGTATAATAGCAGGAGAGCACTGGTGCATCAGACCAGGAAATTAAAAAAGATGCCGTTCACACAAAGGAATGTTTAGTTAAGTTTGAAAATCTTGGCTCAGATGATACCGTGATGGACCATTTGTTACATCTTTACTTACTAATGTTCATTTGCTGTGGAATTTGTTGTTGTTTTGTTTTTTTTTTTTCCCTCTACAAATCAGTTTGTTACTGATTTTAAATGATTCCAAGAGCTTAACTGCATTTCATCCAACACATTTTGAGTCAGAGGTAATATTTGAAAGCGCTAGGGTCCTTAAAGGAACAGCCTATTACAATACACAACAGTAACTATGTTTCTACGATTTATGAAAAGAAAGCAATATGTGCCTGTTTCGGTGCCTGTCGTTTGCCTACCAATGGTGCAGTGCTCCCCATTCCAGCCCTCTCTGCATTCACATTTCCCATCTTTACAAGTTCCGTGCTCCGTGCAACGGGGATGACACACGCGCTGGTCACACGCCACTCCTGTCCACCCTTCTTCGCAGCGACATGCTCCGCCAATGCACACCCCGTGAGTGCCGCAGTCTACAGAGCACACTTCTAGGAGAAGAAAAGAATAAAGGTTACAGCTAGCTTGTGTCAGCAGCCATGGAGCAGAAGCAGCAACCTAGCCATGAAGGGAAAAGCGAGTACAACAGGTATGCTTTTGCTGCAAACTGTATGCCGTCAAAAGCTGGCCTGTTCATATCCAGATCAAACCCACCATTTAACTTTAGCTTAAAAACAAACTAAATTATATTAAAAAGTCATTTAATAAACCTGCTAATATATGCTGGACAAAATGCTGTAGACCTGTGTCCTCTATTCAGACACAAACAACTTTCAGAGGTAGCAAGGCTTGCACGCAACGCCTGCCAGCAGTGCAGAAGGGGAGCACGTAGCTCTGTTTTACTCCAGGCTGGATCTCTGGGGATGGTGATACAGACATTGATTTGCTAAGAATGAGACTGAACTCACCCAAAACTCATTCAGTAGAGAACGGTGACAATTCAGGGTCACTTAGACTCTAGGAGTGATGGGTAAAAGACACTTTCAAGGGAGACACTTCTGAAACCTATTACTAACATGGTTATCTGGCCTCTTACTCCAAAAATTCTTCTACTGCTCTCTGCCAGCTAAGTTGTAGAAAAGCAAACAGAGGGGTCCTTTGCCTCATGCATCATTGGAGAAATGGACAGTGAAACTCTCGTCCATTAATTGTTCTGGCTGCTGATGCATGAAGCAGAAAAAACACATCTTGATATTTGTTTCACTGGTGGGGTATTTTAAGTCATCAATCTTAAGAAATAACTGAATGACTGTGAAAACTGTAAATACTATTTTGAGAGACTTGCTTATGGCCTACAGCTCTATCTCAAGGTTCAACTTACAACATAAATGCAAAATTCCTGGTATTTTTTTCCCCACAAATAGAACATTTGCTGCCTTGTCAAAACTGTTTTTTTCCCTTTAGCTCCTTCTGTTAGAATAATCAAGTTTTACAACTGTAGCTTTGGAGAGGATGAAACTTTTTAGCCTACACTTTTGTGCCTGCTTTTTGGCATCTCTTGCTCTAAAACTATTTTTTAAAATATTCCATGTACAATTAAAAAGGGAAAAATACCCTTTATCTGATAAGAGATTTTTCTGGTTTGTGATGTTTTCCATAATTGAGTAGCATTTTGATGCGCAGTAAAGGAAACCCCAGAAATGTACTTAACTGTAGTGTTTTCCATTCCCCAAATGTTATAAACATGTTTATAAATTATGGAAGTTTTCATTTACAGTTGGGAAACAGATGTGAAGCACTTCAGTAACGTTTTCAGTCCACATGAGGGTCATTATTAGAACGAAGTACAAACTCCCAACCTGCACCCCCTTTTCCCCCCAGCTGACAGTCCCAAATTAAGGATGTCAGAAAAAATAGTATCTAAGATATATACATGCCTCTTCCCAACATAACTAAACAGGACCAAACATGTTCCAAAGACAATTTTCTAAATTATTTGCATTTCAAGCTTGCCATAGATATTAACATTTTAACCAAATAGTAGCATTATTGCAAAATAAGGTTTTTCTTACCAACGGAGCAGTCAGGACCCATCCAGTTGGGATCACAGCTACAAAGCCCTGTGTCAGACAGGTAGGTACCATGCCCGCTACACTGGTCTGGACACTGGGCTCTGGGAAGCTCACAATTTATTCCACCCCAACCCGGGCTGCAGAGACATTCTCCATTCACACAGACTCCGTGATTGGAGCACGTTGGATCCAAGCAATCAACTACAGAAGAAAATAAAAACAATGTAGAGAAAGGTCAGTTCACACACTATGATGTTTGGAACACATGTAGATTTGTGCTCTGAAAAGTTTGTATCACTGTGATAAATAAAGCAAATCAATGTAGTTCTTCAAGTCACATTAACACCTGGGCTGGGAATGTGAGAAGTAATTTGTGTTTTACATTAGCTCCAAATAAAACAGGGTGTGACT